AGAATGGAGAATTTGTGTGTGTTTACAATGAGGGGAGGAGCTCTCTATTTATAGTTGAGGCTCTCATGATCCAACGGTCTAGATCAAAGTACATCGACGGTTTACATTGAATCCTACCTTAACTAGAACTCTATCTCTAAGGTATTTGAATTCAAATAAAACATTATCCATAATTAATTCATTAATTATTGGATAATATTATTCTTTCTAGAATCTTCCAAGGAACGGGCCAGTTATGGGCAAGCCCAACACTCTGTATTATTCTTCTACAGAAATCTGCGCACACATGTTTCGGTCTGAATCCACGAGCCTCGACAAAATTGCCCCCATCGAACATGTAATACCCTCGTCGCTTCTCTCGGACGCCTCGGACTTGATCCTTCACGAACTCGAGCCTTTACGGACTCGTAAGCATTCTCCAAGAACCAGACCAACTTGCCATGCCCAACAAGCCCAAAGTCTGCGCAATAGAACCCCTTCTGTGAACCTTTGCGCCAATGTCCATGGACCAAAAAGTTTAGTCCGTGACACTATACAACAAATCATCGGTGCGATAGATATATTATATGACATGAAAGATGTTTTTGATGCATGAATTTGTATTAAACTATATTGTTTTATTTACCCTTTGATTTTAGGGTTCGATTTCCATTTCTATTATCATTTTAGGTGTATGAATCATCAACGATATTCATTTTTTCGATTAAGTGATATATGTCATAATCTGATAATTTTAAAATTTAATTTTATAAAAAATATGAAAAATATTATTTTATTTATAAAAAAGCACTAACTTCTCTTAAATTATATATAAAAAAATCCAAAAATTCTTAAATCATAGGCTTAACTTGATGTTGTCCTTTCCGGCCACGACCGCCGCTGTCGATGTAGTCCCTACCATCCTACTTGTCATATGTCACCATAGTTGCCGTCGATTGATCGTCGGAATCGCGTGGATTGCGATTTTCATCTTAGGATTTGTGGGGAATAAAACTTCGATTCGCTATCGATTGACCCGTCGATCGATGTCAGTTTCATTGGGCCTTTGGTCACCGGGGGAGGTCAGGTCGGGTGGAGTTTTTTCGATGGTAAAGAACGACGATCGACATGAGTTTAGGGGTTGAAATGAAAATTTTCAAGTTTTGGGGTTATTTGAAAAGTTTTTATCTTTTTAAATTATATAATTTAATTTTTTTAATTTTCAATAAATTTTTTTAAAATTACCAGGTTGTATCACGTGTCACTTAACGGTAAAAATTAACACCGTTGACCGCCTGGACACCTAAAGTAGTAACGTTTGTAACTTTAAACACCAGGATGAATCAAAAAATACTATAGAAACCTATTCATGAAAAACGGTATAATATGGAGCCAAAATAAAATAAACACCTAACGGTGTCTATTACTTCCGAGTCCTAAACTCCTAACGCCGTCCATTTTTCACGGTTCTACTAACCCCGAACAATAACGTTCTTTTGTTTAAGTATTTAAAATGTTCACTTTTATTTTAAAAATGAAAAAAGAACTTTTGGATTTGCACCCCCACCCCCAACCAAAAAAAAAAAAAATCGAGTCGATTTTGCTGCTTATTAAAATTGTAACCAAGATTTGAAATTCGTGTCCTATGAATATCATTAATTTTCTTGCTTGCATGGTATCTTGGTTGTGGGCACTGATGCATTTGGTCCTGTGTGTGCATGCATTCAGAGAAAAAAGGTGCTTGTATGATCATCTTTAGCAGTTCATATTCTCAGTTTATATTATGTGGAAGCACCTGCTTGCTAAGTGCTAACAGTTCATTCTGGAACTCCCTCTCGCTTGTGAATGCAGAAGCATAGACACATAAACCTTTGACAGGATAATATGTTCAATTTTCATGTGAAAAACCAGAAATTCAACATTGGTTGTGTACTAAGCAAAGCCATGAAACAAGTCAGTATACAGTCAAAATTTAAAATGTAAAACACAATGTTCATCAACTCGTAGCCCATACCACACTAGTTGCAGTTTCCTCATCAGCTCTGCTCGGTCCATTTCTTTCTCCGACTCTGTCTCCTATGGTTCGATTTCTATATCTGTTATTTCAGTTTCCTTACAACAACAACATTTCTGGTTAGTGAGGCTTTACATTCTGTTAAGAAATTTTCTTTTTTCTTTTTTTGATAAAACACTAAACACAGAGAAAAGGCTTTCATTTTATATAACCATGTGCTATAAGTATATATATGATAGTATGGATTTGATCTTTTACATTAGCTCAACATATTCACAGCTACTTGCTCTTCAATCACCCTTGAACCAAAGCAGGCTGGGATCTAAAAATATAAATCCAAAAGCCTACAACTCTATGGAGGAGACAAGTTGCCTTTCATGGCATTTCAACCCCTACTATGTTGTCCATTTCTAACATGAATGTTGGCCATTCAAGAGATGAACATGAAACTGTGAGGGCAGGGCATTTGAGGTCTGCCAAAATGAAAACCTAACATCATCCCCCAACACCAACCAAGCTTTTCTCCCCACTCTCTTTAGGGTTTAAGGATGTTTTCAATACCGGGTATCTTCCTTTTCAGGAACAGGATTCGGATTGTGTTGGACTGGTTTTGGTTTGTAGGTAAAGGAATGGTCTTTGTTGGCTGCTAATGCCGATAGCTCCTTCTTGTCGATACCTTTTGCCGGCCCAAGGCTGCATCCGTCTGTTGCATACTTGGCCAATGCATCCTTGAACTTTCTGATCTGCGGAATCATACATAAACAAGCCAATTCACAACTATTATGCACCATGCACATTTCATGAATGTGACTCCTCCAAGTAGTAATGCATTTTCAACACTGGAATTCAAGTACCATATATTTGATTGAGCATATCTGATAAAATTTGCATCAGACAGGACAGAGAACACGAGACTAACCGTTGCGTTGGTGCAGCTGAACTGGCATACGCGCCCCTGAGCTCCTCTGTAGAATCGGAAGAAAGACAGCACATGGACATTAAGGGTATAGCACATGGATTTGTGCTCCTCATAATTCACCTGAAGATACTGTAAATCTGGGTTCATCTTTGCCAATTGACAAATCTACCAGATCCCAACATCAGAAATCACAATTAATCCAAATACAAACAGCACAATAATCAAGTCAAATACAAGCAAAACAATTAAAATACATGTAAGTGAACAAATATGCAAAACAAAGTACATGAAACTATGAGTCTACATTTTGTAAACTTGGTAAAAAAAATAGCCCTGCAGTCACGACAATCAATCCAACTAGATGCAGAGAAACAGCTACACAAAACAAAGGATTTACACTATCACAACCTTGGGAAAAAGGGCCCTGCAGCCACCACAGGAGGGGGAGTAGAAATCTACTATAACAAGTTTATCATCAGCATTCAACAGAGTCCACAAGGTCTTGTGCAGATGTCACTTCTTTCTGCTTTCATATTTGGTTGCAGCCCTGTCTCCCACCACTTTGGAGTTTTACCAATAAGCCCACTTTGCATCTGATTCCACTAAACAATACCAGAAGAAAAAGATAAACCAATAAGTTTAAGTTTAGCATCATTTATTTAAGAGCAAAACCCAACTTTTATATAAATATTCAAGGTTTGATCTTTGGCATGTGAAAACTAAGCTAAGAACTATCTTTAGAAGGTTAATAAGAGAAAATGCTAATTACCAAGAATCTCAAGGTTTTCCAATAAAATATCATCAAAAAAAAATTAAGAAGCAATATATACTAATGACATGCTTTCTCTTTAAAAAAGGGGGTGGGGGGAGAAACACAATTTTCGAAGAAAATAAAGATCCAAGATTTGGAAAAGAAACAATAACTTCAATTAAACCAGCCTGTGCTTTAATGGGAATCTGATGAAACCTCCTCTTGTTCAAAATTTCCCTCTCCAAATAGACCATTCTTTGCGCATTAAAATCACACCTCAAAGCCATAGATTTTATCTTCAAGGAAGTAAATCTGTTTCGGTTGCAACAAAACCCAGGAATTCTCTTAGAATACAAGGAACCTCCACCTTCTTGATTCTTCTTCTGGCTATAGTCAAAAGCTGAAAAAAGATTTGGTTTCACCAAAACCATTGCCACTGTTTAATTTTTTCTATTGTTTTCCCTTTCTTCCCTACAACCAAAACCCAGATTGAGAATTGAACCCTGCCCCTTAAACTACACAAGAAAAATTAAAATTAGATATAAAAAAAGAGTTTTTTTGCTGTGTCTATGTATGTTTTTTTCTTTAAAAGTGGTTGCCTTTTTCTTTGATTATATTGGCTTTGCATTTTCTGTTTTTTCCCACAATCAACAACACTTTGCCAGATTTTTTCTTGGTTATTTTAAGCTCAAACGGTTGACTTTAACCGTTCATCTGTTTTATCCCGACTTGAATCTAACCGTTTATGTTCTTTAGTAATTGGAGAAGTGTTGGCCGGTTTTCATGCTGGTCTGGAGATGCATGTAATTAGCCAATTTTTCACACGTGGTATTGTACAGAAGATTTTGCAAAATTAAATGGAGTTTCACTAGTGCATCCATCAATCATTCCGCTCCATGAAACAATATTCCTATCAAGCATCTATTCGAACATGAAAACGTGCAAACTTAATCTCTCCTTGCTTAGCCGAGCCAGTGATCATCACATTCCAAGTAACATGATTCTTCTCAGGCATTTCGTCGAACACTTTCTTACACTCAACGAAACCCTCACTTTCTGCATACATATTAACCTACACAGTTTGCATATAGAGAGGAGACTCAAAACCCAATTTTATTTCAACCCCATGAAATGTTTGCCTAAAGCTAAGTTACTTAAACTAGCACAAGCTTTGATAAGGAAAGCATAAATAAACCTATCAAATTTGAAGTAAAGGTAGAGTGAGAGTGAACTCGAATTTTCTACAAAAAATTTGTTACATTTTCAAATATTTTAATTTGAATATTTCAATTTTTTCCAACACAAAAATCACTCATGTTTAATCATTACCATCAATATTCTATCCATGAAATTGAAAATGATGATTTAGAAGTAAGCTGTGGTTCAAAAATGAATGGTTTAGTAAGTTGTATTGAGTCGTATTAGATTGGCTGGTGCTCTTAGTGTGACTGCAAGAACCGATATGTTTCTTTGACGGCTCCAAGTAATCCTCATCAATAATTGAATATTGGCGCTCGATTTTGTTTTCCATGCTTGGGACCGAAGAGTTCAACCTGCTGCTGTCGCTGCTGACCGGGATATGTCCAGTTGTGTTGCACTGGTTATCTGCAAGGAAACTACTAAGCATCGAGTAGTCCATGGAATCTAACAGATTGGAGAAAGAAGATGATTTCTGGGGTTGAAGGCTAAGAATGTTATCGTTGCTGGTTGAAGGGCTTCTCAGGGCTGGTAAAAGGGCATCTTGAATGAACTGTTCAGCTTCATCTTCCTCTGGAACTTGGTCATTTACAGCTGCTGGTGTTGAAGTTAAGGCATGGGATTTATTGTATATGCGGCAAAGAACCCAATCATCCAACTAAAAAAATCAAATATTTCAACGAGAATGAAGAATCAAACATTATTTAAGATGAAATGATTGGAGAAGAGGGCTCTTACCCTCATGGAACAATCTTTGGACTTCAATGATGTATTGTTGTGGTTGGATTTAGGGCTGTGTGAAAGGCGATATTCATGCATGATCCAGTTGGTCTTCATCCCTTTTGGAGGCCTTCCATTGTAGAACACCAAAGCTTTCTTTACACCAACATTCGAATGCACTCCATCCCTTCCAGCTACAGCTATAAGCTTCTGTCCCAGTTGCTTTCCAATACCCAGATCCGGCTGCCCTGTTTGGCCTTGCACCATTCGGGTACTTTCTGTCTCTGGGGCTGAAAAAGTAAAAAAGTACCATTCTTTCTCACCAAACACAGCCTTATCTGATGAACCAAAAGAAAAACAAACATTAAAACAAGCTTAAAAATGATTCCTTGGATGATAACAATGAAAAGGGCTGTAAAAGGAAGGCGACCTGGAAGTCCCAGGGATCGAACTTGTAAATATCGACATGGGCGATTATCGAAAGGAGGAAAGGTGAGGAAGTGAGTTCTTCATTAGATAATGAAGTATGAGGCTATGAGCTCTTCATTCTTGTCTTTTTGTTAAATCCTATTCTTTGCCACGTCTCCTTTATTTTGGATTTATCTGATAGTCTTAATACATCATTATTTTTTAATTAATGTTTAATCATATAATCTTATACCAAATCTAAAGTTAATTATTATTATTATTATTATTATTATTTTTCTTAGTGACATGTCAGCATGATCCTGATCAAGCTTGACTAGTGATTTAAGCCTCACTTCTATTAGTGATATACAAATCATTATGAGAATGTTCATTTTTTTCTTTTAAAGATCCAGATTCATTACTTGTATTCGGATGCATGTACAATTTTTATGAATATGAAGATGAAACGACTTACAAAATAACATATACATATATCTAACATTCATCTGTATTTGAATAACATAATCACATGCCATTATCTCATGCCTCTCGGTTATTAGTATCTAAAATAGAAGCTTTTAGTGATACGAAATTATCATAAATGTGCCCAGCATGTGTAATTCAATCTCTTTCAAAGTTTTTTTTTGGAGTTCTAAGATCATATTTCACATATGAACAACGTAGTGATGTGTGCTGCTTTATGCACACTCTTGTTCACATTCAGTAGTTAGTTAAATTTATGGGATATTGGAATTGAGAAGGGCAAGAATGAAAGAGAAGTTTACTTGCTTTGAAATGAAAGAATGTGGGGGCAACTAGCCATTGAGAACTTAATTGCACGACCAAACTGAAAAGCTAGTGATTATTATACCAACTTGATCTCAATAGGCAGCTTTAGATATTGATTCCAAATCAAATAATGACTCGCCTGTTTCATGGATTATGTCCATAGTTTCCTTCACATCCTGGGTAATACCATGGCTTATTGGCTTAAACTAATTCCATTTACACTATTGCCATCAAAATCACCACCATCTTCTCCATCGTTAGAATTATTATAACCATTTTCATCAAAACTTTCAACCTTTGATTCTCTTGGGAAATCAATATTTGAAGTACCAAAGGGAGATAATTGAAATGAGAAGGGCTTGGTGATCGCCATTTAACTTTTTCGGTGTCCCGACTGTTTTAAAGACGAGATTTTGATATTGGAATAGTTTTAGATGCACAATGGAAATGAACGCACACACTCTATGTTGGTAATCTGTTACAAGGTAAAATGAACTAATTCAATTAAATCTCACAAAAAATTATAAAAATCAGGGAAACTAATAAAAATGTATATTACCAATGAAGAAGATTAAATGAAACTTTTGTATTCGATTATTCCCCACCAAAGAATCCGATCTAGGATACGAACGTGCAATGGTGCTTCGTTCTGCATATTTATCGACAGTGTATTCGATTAGGAAATGATGATGCTTTAAGAACCAGAAGTCATGTAAATTTCTAGCGACTAATTTAAAAGCTGATGATGCTGACCTGGAATTTTTACTTCATGACGATACAGCTTCAATGGCACTACCTAGGGGCCAGGCGGCTTCGACAAAGGAATTCCGGTATTTCACTTTCTTCACCAATGTAATATCTTGGTAGGGATCAAGTCCTGTCCGAGAAAAAGATAGGATGGATTAATGAGAATCCTAAGATACCTACGAAGTACTAAGTTCCATAACTTGAATTTGATGCCAAAAGTATAGGCTTACCAAATCCATCGACAAGTAGGGTGTACTCGTAAACCAGATCCATGCATATATATGGCAGGTTATTCTCGCCCGAATCTTTATATGTTGTTTTAGCATCTGCATACTTGGTTTGACAAGCACGTTTAGCCGCGTCTGCAAACGAATGAGGCTGAACTTTTGCAACAGGATCACTAGCTTTAATAAAACCGGCCTGTATTCGTAAACAAATTAGTTAGAATGGCTAATCAGTTTGTTCTGTAGTTTGTTTCAAGCAATACAATTCTCAATCGTGCAATACCTCAGCAGCCCTATCAAAGAAAAATGAAGCAACAAACAGATTCTTCTGTCCATCTCCACCTCCGCCGTTCCATATGCCACCAAATGTGCACTTCATATGCGTGCATGAATCATTTACTTTAAGAGCCTTGAGAGTTACCCTCCTGCATTCTTCCATACTTGAACCGGATGACGGTGCTGATGCTTTATAATCTTCTCCTCCATATTGATAAGTACCTTAGAAAGATGAAAAGCTCAATATGTTAAGTACTCAAATGGAAAATATTCTATCGAACAAAGAAAGAAGGATGTTATGACTACTCGGAGTATTCCATTATTCAGAGCATTCAAAGTTTTTTTGGAACAGACAGATGAACTACAATTTTGAGTAGAGATCTCATCGCCTAGCTAATTGCCGAAGATTACATTATCAGTGATCAGAGCACTAAATTTTGGTTATTGAATTCGTATATCATGTTCGCCATATGCAGCCGAAATAATTAAAAGAATGCATTTTGTAGAGTTAGAGCTGTGATCAAACAAATTCAAACATACCATCAAAACCCTCCAAGATACAAGGGTTCCCAGAATCTTCAAAGACCTTCAAAATTTCTGCTCGAGCTGCCAATAAGCCATAGTGCAAATAGCTGCTCACGTAAAAGCAAGAAGTATATAAGTAAAACATATAATATAGATCTCAGATTAAATATGATCTCATGGCTCATAAGACTACAGAATTATATGACCGAGTAAAATAATAAAATTGACCACTAAAGGAAATACAATCCATTATTTCAAATCACTAATAGAATCCTAATTTGTCCTATCAAAAAAAAAAATCCTAATTTGTCAAAATGAGGGCACCTGTGAACATAAAGGTGATATTTCGATCCCTTCAGATACATTTCATTTACATAACTGTCCTGGCCAGCTGGTAAACTAGGAGCCCTTGAAGCAGCATTCTCAGAGATGGCATATGCCATTTGAACAGATCCACCACCAAGATCAACTATGCCAACTGTGTCCCGATATGTCCTTCCCAAATTCCCTAATAGGTAATTTATAGTCACCTACAAAAGAATATGGCAGTTAAGAAAGTCAAAATTAGGCCCATTGGCCCAATCAGTAGGAGAAATCCCAATGGATCCTGATTTCTGACAGCATGTAAATACTTTATTCTAGTTTCCCTTTGTTCCCCCTCAGGCTCAAGCACTTATCATGAAATCATCTTGATAAGACCAATCATGGAATCATGATGATCAGAAATAAGGTTAAAATATAAAATATCAAGCAGTCCTTGTACTATACTAAAAAGTGCAGTTTAATCTATATACTATAGAACTGAGTACATCAATCTCTTATATGTTTGATATTGAAGAAAATAAGTGAAATCAGTAATAATGTTAATGGAAAACCATCCGAAAGATATAAGTTTTGTCAGATTTCAACTAATGTTTGATATTTAAGTTTTGCCAGTTATAAAATACAAGGACAGAATAGCACTTTTGACTATAATGTAGAGATTGCCAACATACTTTAACCCCGGTTATAGTAATAAAAAAAAAAAGAAATGTATAGAAGTACAAGAAGATTTAGCATATCATACCCACTCATAAGAACCTTCTTGAGAGCCATCCAAAATTTTAACCCCGTTTTCCTCGGATTTCAAGGTGCTTCGACTTTTCAAAAGTTCCCTAACCTAAATATATATTTTTAAGATTGCATCAGGTCGGGGAAAAGGCAAAGTAAATGCTGTCAATAACCAACAATCATATGGAAAACTAATTACTGATTGCAAAATTTTATCAGATGCGTCGCCTCCTAATGCCCTCAGACCGGCAGTTGCCTACACAAATTTGAATTCCAAGTTTTTCAGCAAATTAAGAGACTTAGAATGCAAAATACATGTATGCGGTACATACCCCAACTCTGACAGGGGTCTTTGATCGCAGATCCATTGGCACAACACTTTCTGCCTTGTCAAGAAGAGAACTTAATGAATTTGCCGCAGCCTGTGGATCATTTGCATGGTAGCTCAAACCTGGTTTGAGCTAGAGCAAAACAAACCACATTAAACTAATTAATACTTGGAAAACTGCATAAAATTGAAGAAAATGTTTCTTCCACGGCACATAAATAAACGGCAAATTGAAGACGAGCATACAATTGATGTTTGAAACTTCTCTTTTAAGTTAAAACCCTACTTTAAATATGGGCCAAATTATGTCATAATTCACAAATATCAAATAAAGGTCATTAACATAATCTTTATTACCTTTATTTCGCAACGAAAAAGAAAGAAGAGAGAGCAAAAAATAGACATGAAAAAAAAAACCAAGCTTATAGCGTTGAATTGTTAAATAAACCATATTCTTAATTTTGAAGTTCTCATCCAAATTTCAGATTGTTATGTATGGCTCATAAAAAGTCTCGTTGTGGGGTTACGAATTATGTGGGTTGGGGGTGTGGGGGCGCAGCCCCCGCGGTACGGTACAGGGTTGATTTTGTAATTATGTACCAGGGTTTTCTATTATAAATAGAGATGTAACCTAGACCTAAAAAGATCATTGAATAAAACTTCTAGCGCCGCCTAGGCACCGAGGACGTAAGCACATTGCCGAACCTCGTAAAATTCTCGTGTTCTTTCGTTTTCTTTACCCGTTTTCGTCAACAATTGGTATCAGATGTCAGGAGCAAAATTCGAAGTCGCGAAATTCGATGGTCAGGGTAACTTCGGATTATGGCAAACGAGGGTGAAGGATCTATTGGCGCAGCAAGGGATCTTGAAGGCTTTGCGACCTACAAAGCCGGCGTCGATGGATGAGGAAGATTGGGAAGAATTGCAGCAGCGAGCGGCAGGAACCATACGATTATGCTTGGCGGACGAGGTCATGTATCACGTCATGCATCTATCGTCTCCAGACGAAATTTGGAGGAAGTTGGAAAGTCAGTTTATGTCCAAATCCTTAACGACAAAACTGTATCTGAAGCAGCGGCTGTATGGGCTGAAGATGCAGGACGATCACGATTTGGCGCAACACGTGAATGTCTTCAATCAAATCGTTTCTGATCTGGCTCGGCTTGATGTGAAAATTGAGGATGAAGACAGAGCGATGATTCTGTTGTGTTCGTTGCCTTCCTCTTACGAACACATGGTGACTACTCTTACATATGGGAAAGAGACTATCAACGTTGAGGAGATTACTGCAGCCTTGTTGGCTCACAACCAGCGGAAGCAGAATGCAGGGGAAAGCTCTCAAGCCGATAGCTTATATGTCAAGGGTAATCGAGATCGTGGACGGAAGCCAGAGAAGGCAGGGTCCGGGAAGCGGAATTCCAGATCCAAATCCAGGGATAAGAAGACGATTCACTGTTACAAGTGCAAGGAGGCGGGACATATGAAGCGAGACTGTCCGAAGTTGAAAAAGCAGACCGATGAGAAGCGTGATGGCTCATCCAAGTCTGTGAACGTGGTCGAGGATGATACTTCTGATTGCAGTGAGGGTGATATGCTTTCTATTTCAACGACACAATTGACGGATGCTTGGATTCTTGATTCTGGATGTTCTTATCACATCACGCCAAATAGGGAATGGTTTTCGACATACAGGCCGATTAATTCTGGTTCGGTTTATTTGGGTGATGATCGATGTTGCAATATTGTTGGTATTGGTGATGTCAGAATTAAGATGCACGATGGCTCCGTTCGGACGTTGAGTGGTGTTCGACATATCCCAGACTTGAAGAAGAATTTGATTTCCTTGGGCACTTTGCACAAGAATGGTTTTATCCCTAAGGCTGACGAGGATAGGGAAACCATTCGGATTGTTAAAGGAGCATTGACTGTGATGAAAGGCAAGATGACTGCAGGGAATATCTACAGATTGTTAGGGAGTACGTTGCAGGTGGAGTTCACTCTGTTGAGTCCTGTGATGATACGACAAAATTGTGGCATATGCGCCTTGCTCATCTTAGTGAACGTGGTATGGCAGAATTACACAAGAGAAACTTGTTGCATGGTGTCAAAAGCTGTAAGCTCGATTTTGCAAGTATTGTGTTCTTGGTAAACAGACTAAAGTCCGTTTCAAGACTACGAAGCACACAACTCAAGGGATTCTTGATTATGTGCATTCTGATGTATGGGGGCCTTCCACGACATCGTCTTTGGGTGGATCTAGGTACTATGTTACTTTTATTGATGATTTTTCACGGAAAGTTTGGGTGTATTTTTTGAAACAGAAATCTGAAGTTTTTGAGAAGTTCAAGCTGTGGAAAGCTGAGGTAGAAAACCAAACAGGACGAAAAATCAAGTGTTTGCGGTCTGACAATGGTACGGAGTACACAGATTCACAGTTCCTACAATTCTGTAAGGAGCATGGGATTCAGAGGCATTTTACAGTGCGCAAGACACCACAACAGAATGGTGTTGCGGAACGAATGAACAGGTCGTTGAATGAAAGAGCCAGATGTTTGCGGTTGAATGCGGGGCTTCCCAAACACTTCTGGGCTGAGGCTGTTAACATGGCGTGTTACCTTATCAACAGATCGCCAAGGGCATCGCTGGCTGGGAAAGTTGCAGAAGAGGTATGGACTGGTCATGATGTTAGTTTGATAACTTACGGATTTTTGGTTGTCCTGCTTATGTGCATGTACCTGCTGATGAGAGATCCAAACTTGATGCAAAATCGAAGGAGTGTATTTTTCTGGGTTACAAGAAAGGTGTCAAAGGATTCATGTTCTGGGATCCAGTTGCGAAGAAAGTTGTGATTAGTAGAGATGTCGTTTTTGATGAACAGTCTATGTTGCAGCAGAAGCAAGACACGACAGTGGTAGATTTCGAGCAGTTTCCAGTTGAGAAACCAGAAACTTCTCAACCGACTTCTGGTGGTTCCACTACGGATGATTTGCAGGATTATAGTCTCGCAGAGACAGGGTGAGACGGACGAATATAAAGCCTCCGAACAGATTGGGTTTTGAAGACTTGGTATCTTTTGCATTACTGTTAGCAGTGATGATCCAGTTACTTTTCATGATGCCGTTACTAGTCAGGAAAACGACAAGTGGATGGCAGCCATGGTTGAGGAGATGGAGTCTTTGAATCACAATCGCACATGGGAGTTAGTTTCCCTTCCTGAGGGTAAGAAGCTGATTGGTTGCAAATGGGTGTATAAGAAGAAACCAGCAGTAACAGAAAAAGAGGGGGAGAAGTTCAAGGCTCGTTTGGTAGCGAAGGGTTTTTCACAGCAGAAAGGAGTTGATTATGATGAAATCTTTTCTCCTGTGGTCAGGCACACTTCAATCCGAGCAGTACTTGCATTGGTGGCTAGTTGGGATTTGCATTTAGAGCAGATGGATGTTAAAACTGTTTTTTTGCATGGTGATTTAGAGGAGCAGATCTACATGCGGCAACCTGAAGGTTTCACTCACCTGGAAACGAACATTTAGTTTGCAGATTGAAGAAATCTTTGTACGGGTTAAAACAGTCTCCGAGACAGTGGTATAAACGGTTTGACTCTTATATGATCAAGATTGGCTACAACCGATGTGAGTATGATTGTTGTGTCTATGTTAAGAGCCTTGATGATGGTTCTTTTATTTTTCTATTACTGTATGTTGATGATATGTTGATTGCTGCGAAGAACATGGATGATGTTATCGGTTTGAAAACTTTATTGAGTCAGGAATTTGATATGAAAGATTTAGGTGCTGCAAAGAAAATTATTGGAATGGAAATTTGCAGGGACAGAGACTCAAGGAAACTGCGGCTATCTCAACGGGGTTATGTTGAGAAAATGCTAGAAAGGTTTGCGATGAGCAGCGCAAAACCAGTTAGCACTCCATTGGCGAATCACTTTAAGCTCTCATCAGAACAGTGCCCCAAGACAGATAAGGAAGCTGAAGATATGGCAAAGGTTCCGTATTCTAATGCTGTTGGCTGCTTGATGTATGCGATGGTATGTACTCGTCCTGATTTAGCTCATGCTGTTAGTCAAGTTTGTAAGTACATGTCTAAACCTGGTAAGCAACATTGGGAAGCAGTCAAGTGGATCTTTCGGTACTTAAAGGGTACTGTGGGACATGGAATTGTTTTTGGGAGTCAGCGGGATAACCCTTTGGTTGTAGGATATGTGGATTCAGATTATGCAGGTGACTTGGATAATAGAAGATCTACGACAGGGTATGTGTTTACTCTTGGTGGAGGGCCTATTTGCTGGAAGTCTACTGTTCAATCTGTCGTGGCACTATCTACAACTGAAGCTGAATACATGGCAGCGGCTGAAGCTGCAAAAGAAGCTTTATGGCTTACTGGTTTAGTGAAGGAGTTGGGTGTTCAACAAGGTGGAGTTCAGTTGCTTTGTGATAATCAAAGTGCTATTCACTTGGCTAAGAATCAGGTGTATCGTGCTAGAACTAAACATATTGATGTAAGGTTCCACAAGATCAGAGAGTTGGTTGCATCTGGAGAGGTTTTGTTTCAGAAGGTACATACTGATGAGAATGCCGCTGATATGTTCACCAAGCCAGTTACGACAGACAAGTTCAAGCATTGCTTGGACTTGTTGAATGTTTCGAGTTGTTAAAGAAGCAAGGTAACCCAACCCACATTGAAGTTTCCAAGGGGCAGGATATTCGCCAAGGTGGAGATTTGTTATGTATGACTCATAAAAAGTCTCGTTGTGGGGTTACGAATTATGTGGGTTGGGGGTGTGGGGGCGCAGCCCCGCGGTACGGTACAGGGTTGATTTTGTAATTATGTACCAGGGTTTTCTATTATAAATAGAGATGTAACCTAGACCTAAAAAGATCATTGAATAAAACTTCTAGCGCCGCCTAGGCACCGAGGACGTAAGCACATTGCCGAACCTCGTAAAATTCTCGTGTTCTTTCGTTTTCTTTACCCGTTTTCGTCAACACAGATTGACATCCACAACTACATCAACGACAAAGCTAAATTCCAAGAAAACATAACTCTGTCTAAAAATTTACTAGCTAGGGAAAAAGAAATTACCTGCTCAAAAAGCTCTAAATCAGAACCAATTGGAACAAGATCCAAATTGTGATCAAAACAGTAAACATGAACCCGACTTCCGGAACTCCCCGCATCAAAAATCACAGCATAATTCCTATTTCCTCTGGAATTCGCCCCTACTCTCTTGCTATTTAACTCGATCTCCTCCAGCACGGTCGCATCAGACGCAGATTTACCCGGCAGGACGTATAACACGAAAGTTATAAGCACGATAGGGATGGAGATGACCAGCAAAACGCCTCGGTGCTTATGGATCTTGTCGAAGATGGACCCATGCCTGGGCATTGGACGCTTGATCATCTTCTCGGGGTGATTGTCGGTTCCATTTCCGTTCGGAGATAATAGGGCTCCGTTCGACCCGGACTCGAGGAGTTCGGCTGAGGATGGCGTTCGGTACCGGATCTGGAAGTTGCCAGTTGGAGCCGGTAATGGCTCCAGATCCTCCAGATTTCTGAACTTCGGTATTTTCGAATTTATATGAAATTTAACCTTGAATCAAAATACAAAAAAAATATATTGTAAAAAGAAAATGTGATGTGATTTTCAAAGCATTGGGATTGAAAAGGAATATGAGGAGAGAAAGAGCAAATGTAGTGGGAGCGATTTTGGGAGGAAAGAAGGGATGGGATATTTATTGAATTTTTTTCTTTTATCTTATATTTTTTGGGTAAATTTTATCACCACTCAACTATTTAACATTTTTACTTTTTCTATGAATCTTTCAATTTTGTCAATATAACTATTTATTTTATTCAATCAGACCACTAACCTTTAAAATTTAACAGGAATTGTGATGTTGTAGTTAAAACGTTTGATATAATTACACATCCAGTCATTGATACTTATAATTACACATCCAGTCATTGATACTTACATATTATATTAATTTGGTCCTAATTTTAATAAGTTAAAATAAATTTTATCATCAAATCAGATTAATGGGTTGTTTGTTTACTGTTGAATGGAACCATTCAACATTCAACGTGTTTGATTTTCACCTCTAAATGAAGACTATGTTGAATGAAACTGTAAAACATTACTGAATGATTCAGCATTAAAGTACATTCTGAATCATTAAGCACTCGATATTTTACCATAATATCAATTTTTTCACATGTTGTCTTATTAAACAATCATATCTTATAATATAATAAATTATTATGAAGGTAAAAATAAAAATATTCACAATTCCGATTGTACATTCAGAACAATTATCAAACAACATGTCACATTCAGAGCCAATTCATACAGAGCTTTTGAATCATTCAGCGCTTAATCATTTTATTTTATCAAACAGCTCACAAGTCACATGTCATCATCTAATTGGATGATTAATTATATTCTAATTTATTTTTAATTCAATATAGTTTCCCCCAATCACAGGGTGACACATATCACACTAAGGTGGAAATAAAATGAAGCACGAACAAGTGCTTGCTGGGGATTCGAACCTGACAACCTTTGAAATTAAGGGCCTGCTCAATCGCTGAGCGTATATATTATGTATCAATGTGTAAATTCTTAATATTCCATATATTTAAATTTAAATTTACATATTAAATTAAATTCACATCTTAACATTAAAAAAATATTTTATTTTTATCTTAACTTATTAAATATATTTTATTTTTATTTTATTTAAAAAAATATATTTTACTCTTATTTTAACTTAAAAAATATGTCTTATTCTTATATTAACTTTAAAAAATATATCTTATTCTTATATTAACTTAAAAATATATTTTTATATTGACTTTTAAAAATATATCTTAAATTAAAATAAAAGTAAAATATATTTCATAAGTTAAGATAAAATAAAATATTTTTTTGAGCTAAAATAAGATTAAAAAATATTTTTAAGACTAAAATAATATTAAAAAATATTTTTAAGTTAGAATAAGACTAAAATATTTTTTAAGTTAAAATAAAATAAAATATATTTAATAATTAAAGATAAAAATAAAATATATTCAATAAGTTAATATAAAAATAAAATATATTTTTAATGTTAATATGTGAATTTAAATTAAAATATATAGAATATTAAGAATTTACATGTTGATACATAATATATATCATATTTTGTCTGCTTTAGACTAATATTGCATCTTAGCTCAGCGGTTGAGCAGGCTCCTTGGTTTCTAAGGTTGTCAGGGTACTTGATGTGTGTTTTATTTTATTTCCACCTCAAGGTTACATGTGTCATCTTGTGATTGGGAGAAATATATTAAATTAAAAAAAATAAAATAAAATATTTTAATTTATTAAAATTAAGATCAAATTAATATAATATGTAAGTATCAATGACTGGATGTGTAAATATACCAAAAGTTTTAACTGTCACATCAACATTTTGGTTAAATTTTAACAGTTAGTGGTCTGATTGAATATAATTAAATAATTATGTGGTCTGCTTAATTAAAATGAAAGATTAATGACAAAAGTAAAAGGACTAAATAATTGAGTGATGAATGATATAATTTACTTTTTTTTACATCTTCTTTCTTATATTTAACTGTACATAAAGTGGAGGAATTTTACCTTTTTTTTAGAAATTGAAATTAAGAAGTATTTCTCAGTATTATTCTTAATACCAAATTATTTTTTTTCTATTTTTAATCATTGAATTATTTTTATCAAAATATCATCAAATTATTTCTTTTATCTTAATTCTTTATTATTAGAATCTGCAATGTGATAAAATAATCTTTTGTTTTTGTTTTTAATAAGTTTATTTTACGAATTAAGTAGTGATATATTGTATTCAAATTTCTTGAGAAAGGGAGCTAATATTAAATCACTATGTTAATTAAGGGTGTATTTGAAATGTTCAAAAGTTTAGAAATTAATTTAGATTGTGAGTCATACATAGTTTAAGAATAAAATTGAAATATTTAAAGTTTTATTAGTTTATTAACAAGTATACACTATAAATGCGATTATTTAAACTTGAATATTTTAGAAAAATAACATTATTTTTATCCCTAAGTCCATTTAATGAGTTTAATATTTGTTGATTAAAAATCTATATTCAAAGAAAATAGTTAAATATCATAAAATTTGTAGTAGAAAATGAGGATCGATTAGATCTGCACAATATTGGCTACCAATCATACAAAATGCAGAAAAAAAATGTTAAATATATATGTATGATAATTGAATATATTCTTCAATATCATACAAATTATTTTTTATCAGTTTAATATAAAAATAAGTGTTCAAACTATACATTTTCTTGTTTAGATATTTAAATTATATTTAGATCAATTCAAATGCTTACTTTTTTTAATGTTATATTTTTAAGTGTCTAAACTGTCACAATCACTAAATTCAACTGTTAAATGATAATATCCACTTTATAAAATTTTAAAATGATTTGTTATTTGCAATGCATTATTTGTCTCAAAATAACATAATCTTGATTCTCGACGTACCAACACCACATGAATTTACAAGTAAACAAATTTATTGCAAGTATAAGATAATGTATAGTTGAGAATAGGACAAAGAAAATAAGATAAATTACGTGTTTAGTATCTAAACTATAAGATTTAGTCTATTTTAGTACTTAAAATTTCAATTTTTTCAAACACAATATATAAAATTTAGTTTTTATTTCATTTTAGTACACAATCGTTAAAAACTTAGTTTTTGTTTTATTTTAGCACATCGTTAACGTTAAGTTTTGAAAAGATTGAAAGTTTAGGTATAAAAACACACCAAAAATGATAGTTTAGGTACTACACACGTTACGTTTTAACGACGATGTACTAAAATGAAATAAAAACCAAACGTTATGTATGATTTTAAAAAAAAAATAAAAACTTTAGATACTAAAATGGACTAAAAATGATAGTTTAAGTACTAAATGCGTAATTTACCCAAGAAAATATAAAGCTAGGATGTAAACCGTTAAAATATCACATAATTTTACCAACGACCATTTGATATAGTGAGATGAGGTGTTAAATCCCTTAAACAATGTCACAGATTTAAATTCTGATGATTGTGAATAGAGTAAACTGGGTTAGGAGGGCGACCATTGTTTCTTCAGTGCCCAATCCGAATTAGTATAAATGAAAATATGACGATTTTGAAAGGAGTAAACTAGCTTAGAAAGAGCTAACTTGATATTATAGAATTTTAGGGACGAAATCAACCTAGTATAAATGAAAATATGGAAATTTACCCATTTGAAGCGGACAAAGAAAGAAAATAAAGGGGGTAAAAACTAAAACAACAAGCATCTAAAATATAGCCGTTGGAACATCGGAGCTTAGATCTAAAATATAGCCGTTGAAATATTGGAGAATAAGAGATTCAAAGGTTAGTGCAGTTTAAGTGCTATCTGTCAGTTCGCAATCAAACTCAAACAGCTGAGATCTCAGATTTCATTTCCATTTTTCACCTTCATTTTAATTCTTGAATGTCTGATTAGATCCGTTTGTAATTGAAACCTTTTAATAGGATTTCGATCCTGAAATCCAATCAATTTTACGTAAGTTCATATTTTATATTCTCGATAATTTTCAAGAGCCTTCGAAAAATATTTTGGATCCTCTCGTGTGTTTCCTATTGACATAAATGTTTTCTATGATTTATATAAAGTACGGTTTCTGATATATGATTTATGATTTTTGACACAAGGTACAATTAACTCCTGATTTATGATATTATTGTCTGCTATCTGATCTGTTTTATTGGGGTTTAAGTGTTGTGTCTGGAGTCTCAAAGGTTCAGCTAGTTGGTAAATCTTTTATGTTATGATCGTTCATATTGGACTCCTAGATCCTAGGGTTATAGGGTAAGTCTTTATGGATGCCTGTTTTGGGTACTGCATTTGGTGTACGGTTGGAGGTAAACTCTGTATTTTAAATAAAAACCCAACTTCTTATTTATGTTTTCTGATATTATTGGCTCTATCTGAAACTGTTTTATTAGGGTATTGATTGGGTAAGATTCTGGAGTCTATGAGGTTCAACCAGTTGATAAATTCTTTATGTTCTAATCATTCATATTGGACTGGTAGATCTTAGAGGTCTAAGGTAAGTCCTTATGGATGATGTCCTGGGAAATTTCACATAGAGTATTTGGATGTAGGGTACTACAGTGATTTTAAAAAACGTGTTTTACTGAAATAACTACTATTGTTTTTAAACCATGATTACATTTTATTCTGGTTTTGAGAGAACATATTAGACGTCTGCTTCAATCTTCTAAACCTGATCTTCTGAACGTTTAACTATAAGCTTCTTGTCTGTTACCTGGAAAAAAAATCAGTGGAACCTCAGTTCATCTCAAAAACCTATAGATGTATGAATCAATAAGAAAATTTTTATGCTTGTCGTTTATCTGGTTGTCCTTCAACATCATTTGGTAGTTCTATATTATTGAGCTTCCCAAAGCTCACTATTTTACTTACCATTTCAGGTTAACGAGTAGATCATGTACAGTTATACCTGTAAAATTAGGAGGTATGTAGGTCACATTTGATTTTTATATTGAGTCTGGAACTTGTATGACTTTAATTATGTTTGTAATATATGAATGTTTTTCTGAACTTGTATTTTATTTATAAATTATTTTATGATTTTACATGTTTTAACAAAAAAATAATTTTTCATAGATTTTTTCTGTAGGTCGCTCTAGTGACCTTAATGTGACACATCAGATCAGATCGAGTCACTCGTATTGGTCTGAGGGTGTTACATAGATGATATGGGTAAAATGACAAATAAGGGTATGATACATTAGTTGTTAAGTAATATATGTTTTATAATACTTTAGTCTTTATTAAGGTGAAATTACTTGGATAAAATGCTTTCGACAATGAATTAAAAATTCCTTAAGAAAATTAGTGAATGTTTTTGAAAATTTTGAATATATTTTTTAAATTTAATATTTACAAATATTAACATTGTGATATTGATACACACCATTAACTTTGTATAAAATATCAACACTACATTTTTTTAATTTAATGTTTTGTTATATTTTCTTAACTAAAATATATTTGAGAATCTACAACTAAAAATAAAATTTCAGCTTAAATATATTAGGATGAAAGCTATTTCATTATATTAGGTTTTTATAGTAAGGATGTAATTATGGAAAAAATAAGGTCAAATATTTCATTTAACATCTTATTTTGCAATAAGTTATTCCGAACCGCTGAATTTTCTAATACTTTCATTTTCAACTTATTTTGTACAATAATCTCTTTTAAAAAAGTGTTTATCAAACACTCAAAATGGAAGTTTTAACTACCAAATAACTATTTATGCTCAAATAAACTAAAAACTCTTCAAAAAGCTGTTTGCCAAACACCCACATTATAAATACTTTTTCTTTCAATCCTACATAATATAAAAATATTATGTTTTTATAAAATCGTGATATATTAACATTATCGATTATATCCCAATTGTAGGAAAATAAACATATATTATCTTCTAATCACATTAGATTATTTAAAAAAGGTAAATTCAATTATATAAAAAATGCACGAATCAAATTATCTAAGTAGTTAAAGGAATTATTGTTATTTCTAGAGGTTCGGATTCAAGCACCAGCGACAACAGACTGCAACATGGGTGATTGTGTGTTCATTGTCAAATGATTGAGAATATTTAGAACAAATACTACTTTGTAATCGCATTGACATAATTAAAATTATATAATAAAAAATGATGAAATAATTATGAGTAGCGTAAATTTATTACATGTATGCTTCATGAATCACGCCAGCATTTTGTACCAATTGATTGAATTCTACGTAGTACTTGGTGGAGCCCGTGCAACAAGGTAGAAGAGAAATATATGAAACATTTATTTGATCCATTGAATTAAACAGACCAGAAGTCATCATCAGATGCAAACAAGTCTAGGTAATACTTGAATAGATAAAGAAATCAGCATTAACAATATGGAAAGACAGCATTCAACTCGAATGGTGAAGAGTCAGAAAGATGGTAGACAAAATAGAGACATGCCAGGGATGGACGGAGGGGCGAGTAAGGGCCGTCGTTCTTCTTAAAAATTTAAAATTATCATATATTTTTTTATTGTTATATGTATTTTTTTTATTAAAGATCTATTTCACCCCTTAAAATTTTAAAATCTTAATTCGTTCCTAACATAAAATTTTTCGACCAATATTGGGAGAAGAAGAGATGAAACCTATATTAGATTACCCCACCTTTAATTATTTCTTTTAATTCTTTATGAAGATAAAATATTTTAAAGTAAACATGCATTTAGTACTTACATTATCAAATTTGATCTGTTTCAATATCTAAACTTTCAATTTTTTTTAAATCATACCTAACGTTTACTTTTGTTTATTTTAGTATTCGTCGTTAAAAACTTAAGGCGTTTAATTCCTAAACTATCATTTTTGGTATGCTTTAGTACTTAAACTTTTAATTTTTTTTAAAACTTAACGTTATGTTTTAACTGTGTACTAAAATGAAACAAAAATTAAATATTATATATGATTTTTTTATTAAGCTAAAGTGATTATAAAGTAATATATGTTCTAAATACTTTCAATCATTTGAGATTGAACACTCAATCACCTTACTGATGTTGTTGATGCTCGAACCTATAACCTCAAGGAACAATAACAATTTCTTTAATCATTAAGGTAAGTTAGTTTGTGAAACATTATATATGATTTTAAAAAATTAAAAATTTAATTACTAAATGGATGGAAACGGTAACAGTTTACCCCGTATTTTAACATACACCAACCACCGATTCATCACCGGCTGCATAGTGCATATATTCTCATGTTTCTCCTGCCCCATCACACCCACTCATTCTCAAGGTTTTGTCACCCGAAGCTGGACCTCCCCGATCTTATATGACAGTATATGGCGGATGGTTGTCACAATCCTTACCTGTTATGCTAGCTCAGGAAAATAATGACCTGCAGGTATTTGGTTTCCATCTATAAATAGAAATGTCTGCCAGCATAGTTTCTCAGTCATCTCCAAAGCAATAGCAAAACAACCAGTTCTGGTATATCATAATGAAAAGAATTCATGTTTTCTTGTTGCTTTCACCCTCTTGGCTTTTGCTGCATTGGCCATGGCCTCCGATCCCGGTCCTCTCCAGGACTTTTGTGTGGCTGTCAAGGACATCAAAGATGGCGGTAGGGCTTTCAAGACTTATGTTTTAATGTTCATCGTTCAGTTTTGGCTTCGGTATTTTAATTAACGTTTCTTCATTGCAGTGTTTGTAAATGGTAAAATCTGCAAAGACCCAAAGCTTGCAGTTGCGGATGATTTCTTCTTTTCAGGCCTAAACAAGGCGGGGAACACATCTAATCCAATTGGAATGAGTGTCACCCCTGTTGGTGTTGATGAAATACCAGGACTCAACACTCTCGGCATATCTCTGGCTCGGATCGACTACGCTCCTAATGGCCTTAACCCTCCTCACACTCATCCCGAGGAACCGAGATCCTAGTCCTCGTCCAAGGCACTCTTCACGTCGGCTTCGTTACATCAATCCCGACTACCGTCTCTTCACTAAAATCCTAAACCCCGGAGATGTTTTTGTTTTCCCAATGGGTTTGATTCACTTCCAGTTCAACGTAGGGAAATCTAAGGCCGTTGCATTTGGTGGCCTCAGCAGCCAAAATGCTGGGGTTATATCCATTGCCAATGCAGCATTCGGCTCGAACCCATCGATCAACCCAGATGTTCTGGCCAAGGCCTTTCAGTTGGACAAGGATGTGGTTAAAGATCTTCAGTCTAAATTCTAATCGGGTTAACTACTTAAGCTTGTTTGAAATAATGTTTCCATGTATTTGCTTATTGAAATCAGAGTATTCTGCTAAGTACCATGTAATAAACAGACTGGTTTAAATGTGCCTCTCCAGTCCTCTCTCTTCGTAATCATTTCAGATGTGAAATCAAAATTTGTAACACTCATAGATTTGAATCACGATTGCAATCATGCTAACGTTTTTTCATAACCAAATAATGTTGAATCATTGCAGTGTTTGTAAACTGCAAATTCTGCAAAGATCCGAAGCTTGTAGATGCACAAGATTTCGATTTATTCAGGCCTAAGCAATCCAGGGAACACATCTAATCAAGTTGGATCGAATGTCACCGTTGTCGACGTTGACAGAATACCAGGACCTAACACTGTCGGCATATCTGCGGCTCGGATCGACTACGTGCCTTCAGCCCTAACCCACCTATCAGCCCAGATGTTGTGGCCAAGGCCTTCTAGTTCTATAAAGATGCGGTTAAATATCTTCAGTCTCGGCTTTGGTCGGGTTAACAAGTACATTAAGAGCTATGAGGGTGGGTACATATCTAAAAAAAATTACAATAGATGATGATGGTGTTCTTGGCAATATGCACAATGAGTTGCCAGAAGTTATATTTAAGACATGTTCAAATACTTGAGTCCACAAAAACTTTTAAGATCAAAGGTAAAACCAATAGAGTAAGAAGGTAAAGATTAAGGACATGAAATTGTTCCATATAAGATGTGAACAAGGATGGAAGCCTTATATCCAAGTAAAGATTAAGGATGGAGAGACCAAGGTCTTCAGCCTGAGGAGATCAGTGCTACGGCTCTACCTAAGATGAAGGAAACGGCTGAAGCTTTCCTTGGGAAGAAAATCAAGGATGCAGTTGTTACTGTTCCTGGTGAGTGCAATTTAAGAAACACTGGTCTCATTTTGGAAAAAGATTATGTTTGTGATCCTTTATGATGCTCAAATTATCTCTCCGTTTGATTTGCAGCATACTTCAATGATGCCCAAAGCAGGACACCAAGGATGCAGGCATTATTGCTGGGCTCAATGTGGCTAGGATTATCAATGAACGAACTGCAGCAACAGTTGCCTATGGATTGGACAAAAAGGAGGTGAGAAAAACATTCTTGTCTTTGACCTTGGTGGTGTGACATTTGATGTCAGTATCCTGACGATTGACAATGGTGTATTTGAGGTTCTTTCCACAAATGGAGACACTCATTTGGGAGGTAATCATCGTTCTTGTTTTTGGTTTCTAAAAGTTGGTTGTTATCATGAGTTCTGCTTATGGCAATTTTTCTTGCAGGTGAGGATTTTGACCAGAGGATTATGGAATACTTCATTAAACTGATTAAGAAAAAGCATGAAAAAGATATCAGCAAGGATAACAGGGCTCTTGGGAAGCTCAGGAGGGAAGCTGAGCCTGCCAAGAGAGCTCTCAGCAGCCAGCTCCACGTCCGTGTGGAGATCATAGCCGTATCTGGGCCTGGGCAGGAGGGGCACCTGCCAAGGGCCAAGAATTTTTATTATGTATTTTATTAGTAAAAAATATTTTTTATTAATTATATAGCTTAATTATTTTTTAATATTTATTATTAAAGGTTCCATCTTTTCTCAATATTATTATTATGAAATTAATTTTTTTAATATTTATTATTAGGGGTCTACTCCTAAAATTTATTTATTCTAATATTTGTACAAGTGTTCAACTTTTTGCTAATAATTTTTTCTAACTTTTGTTATTAAAGTCCTAAATTTTCACTACTTATTATCAGGGTCCATTTTTTTTTCAACATTTGTTATTAGAGACATACTTTTAAAATTCATTTTTTTATGAGTCCAATTTTTTGAATACTTTTTGTTAGAGGTCCAATTTTTTTCAATATTTATTATAAGTATACTTTTAAAATTTATTTTTTAATATTTTTTATTAGAGATCATTTATTTTTTTAATATTTATTTTAATACTTGTTATTATGGAGTTGTCCTTAAAATTTATTTTTTCAACACTTACTATTAGGAACAATTACTTTATAATAGTTTGTAGCCACAACAATAACCATTATACAATAGTAACAATATCGTCTGAAATTACTATATCCATAATTGTATATCTTATTAAAAATTCAGAATCACAATACTTGCAATGATCATAATGTCATTCGTTATGTTCACAATAACAATAAACACAAAGACACAAATATAAACTGTAATTTAAATTTCTAACTAAAAGTCTTTTTTTTTTTTTAATTCGTCCAAGACCACCAAAATCTTAACGGACCAGGTGGAGATTGAATCACTTTTTGATGGTATCCATTTCTCTCAGATACTGACAGGGCTCGCTTTAAGGAGTTGAGTTCAGAAAGACCATGGGACGCAACAGCTTGGAGACGTACGTTTACAACATGAAAATCAGATTAGTGACAAGGATAAGCTTGCTGACAAGCTCGAAAGTCCAATCCGACGAGAAGGAGAAAGTCGAAACGGCAGTGAAGGAGGCCCTCGACTGGCTTGATGATAACTATCTTTATAATCACTAAGATAATTAGTTTGCATTGAATTGTTCTATTTTAATATGCTCGAACTTAATCTCGTATTTTTTGAAAATTTAGAAATTAATACAACCTTTGTTACTTGTAATTTCTAGAAATGTCACGTCAGTCGTTTCATGTCCACTAATACAATCTTGATTTTAGAAAATAAAAATGGTTGAATTTTGTATTTTTAATGCAATATCCAGAATTTGAAGTCCTCAATAGAAAAAGAACAAAAATGCTCAGCTTAATAGAATAAACCAATCAACAAAGAGTAATTAAAGATAAAATAGTAACTAATTAAACTACTCATTAAAGATAATATCATGCTAATAGAAATTAATCTCTCACAGGCCCGTATCAACGTGCATAGAGACATTAGTATTCGATCAAGTCGAGTCGAGTAAAAAAATTCAAGTTAATCGAGTTTTGAAGGGTCATTTTGTCGGTCGAACTCTTTGAAATTTTTGTACAACCAAAGATGAAAATATGAAGACAACCACATCATTCATGTGAAGAACCAGGTCTTAAGGTGAGAAGAGTACCTGCACAAACATCACAGGAACTTCAAGTTGAAGTAAAGTTTCATCTCTTACTGCTCCATTCATCCCCTGATATTTAACCAAGAATGTGTATTACTAAAGCCCGATTCAGTTTCCAAGTTTCATCATAAAGGTTATCTTTACCCTGAGAAGCAATGTCATCCTGGGCGGTCACCATGCAGCTCACTCTACAAAGAAACATGGCCTTAAAAATAGCACATACAAGCAAACAATCTTAAAGAAGAATGTGAACATCAACACCAGGATTAGTCATTAGTGTCCCTTAAGTCCTTATGGCAGAATGCATTGGCAATGTTGTTTTCTATAAAATAATAGATAAGCCAACCTTAAATAGTTCCCTAAGCACAGACATTAGCAGAACACAAATGGCAACACAATTATATTGTACCTTGAACCCATTGATTTGCCAGCCAAAATCAGAGGATGCTCAGTATATTTGGAAACCGCATCGTTTAAAAATATTAAATAGAATTTTAGTCACAGTTGAGAGATTAAATAACTCATTATCTCGAACAATTGATGTGTTTGTTTTGTAATAAAATTCAAAGTTGAATATTTATTTTATAATTTTTAAAAGTTTAATGTTCAAAAAAATATTTTTATATAGTTTAGTGACCATGTTTTAACTTTTCCCTTATTTTATATTTTAATTGAATTCCTCACCTCTCAATCCCTGCAACCTGTCCGTCTCCATTCTCCAGCAGCCAGAAAGGTGTGTTTATTTCTGTCATTTGTTTCTCATTACTTTTTTCTTCTTTATCATTTTCCTTCCATCTCTCAAGCTTGTTACTTCGATGGGCTATTCGAAGTCTCTACCTTTAAGCTTCCATTTTCTTTAAGATTTTCGGTCTTTCTTTGATATGGAAAGTTATATACGGAATAAAGGTGATGAATTTATTAATGGGTAATTATCTTTAATGTGTAAAATTAAGTTAATTTACTTGGAAAATGTTGTTTCCAAGCATCGAGCTTTGCTTTCCCAAACTGGGTTATTTTATTTTTAATGGTACCCCTTATAAAACTATGTATGCAATGTTATGGATCTCTTTGCTTCATGGTAGTTGGTTTCTCTTCTTCATTAATTTATTTTTTTTCAATGGCTTACTGACTGTGCGTTCCTGCTGAAAGCTTGAAAATATGATCAATTTGAATGAACATGGGAGTGAAATAAGAAATTTACATATTCAATTTACCATACACTACTGCATATTAAACAAGTTGTTTATGTGAAATGCTTTTAAGAAATTCTATTTTCTGAAGCTCAGTGCTCCGTTTATTGCACTTTGGTTCGGTGTTGGTGAATTGTGGCATGAATTCTATTTCTTTTCACCTAGAGGGCTAGGTCTGAAGAAGCAACAATTGCAAAATCAAGGATTCATGTGATTGAGCTTAAAATTGTTATTTTTTTTGTTGTTGTTTTGTTTGTATCTTAAAATGTGATGAGAGTGAGCTTCTTTACCATGATTTGATTCGTCTTGAGTTCCTTTTCGATCCGGTGTATGTGGTCGGTATTTTTCTGTTTCTTCTTTCTAAGAGTACATAAAATTTGAAATTGCAGAATATTTTTCCTTTGTTGCCTCAGTTTTTACGAGTATTGAGGAGGAAATGGAGGTTACTGGACTGTAGTTTCTACCACAGATGTTCCAGTCTATACAACAGCTCCTCAAACATGGAAGTAGATCACAGAACATTATCTATTCCCTTAGGACCCTAACATTGGGAAATTCTCTCCAAAGTGCTTCTCTTTCCACCACTGCTGTTTCAAAAGATGACTACTTTGCAGCTATCCACCACATTTCCAACATCGTTCGTCGTGAAGTGCATCCAGAGCGCACCCTCAACCGCATGAACCTTTCTGTGAATTCAGAACTTGTCTTCCGCGTTCTTCGTTCCTGCTCCAACTCCCCTACAGAATCTCTTTGCTTCTTCTCATGGGCCCGTTCCCACTATGCACCCACCTCTGTCGAATTTGAGGAGCTCATCAAGATCCTTATTCGCCATAGAAAGTATGAATCCATGTGGAAAACCATTCAACAAATGCAAAATCAGCAGCTTACCCTTTCTTGTGATACCCTCTCTTTTATCATTGAAGAGTATGGGAGGAATGGCCTCGCAGACCAGGCTGTGGAAGTTTTCAACAGAAGCGCTAATTTAGGTTGCAAACAAACCGTAAGTGTTTACAATTCATTGCTCTTTGCGCTTTGTGAAGTGAAGATGTTCCATGGAGCATATGCATTGATCCGGAGGATGATCAGGAAAGGTGAGGTACCGGACAAGAGGACATATACAATTCTGGTGAACGGTTGGTGCTCTGCCGGGAAGATGAAAGAGGCACAAGACTTCTTGGAGGACATGAGCAAGAAGGGGTTTAATCCTCCAGTTCGAGGTCGAGATTTGTTAATTGAAGGTTTGTTGAATGCAGGTTATCTTGAATCAGCCAAGAAAATGGTGAGGAGAATGACTAAGGAAGGGTTTGTGCCCGACGTTGCAACATTCAATTCATTGGCGGAAACTATTTGTAAAACCGAGGAGGCTGATTTCTGCATCGATATGTATCACAGTGTTTGTAAGTTGGGGTTTTATCCGGATATTAATACTTACAAGATCTTGATACCTGCAGCTTCGAAAGTAGGTCGGATTGACGAGGCTTTTAGACTTTTAAATAATTCGATTGAACAAGGTTATAGACCATTCCCTAGTTTGTATGCACCTATAATCAAAGGCTTGTGTAGGAAAGGGCAGTTCGACGACGCATTTAGCTTTTTTGGCGAGATGAAGATCAAGGGTCATTCTCCGAACAGACCATTCTATACGATGCTGATAACAATGTGCGGGGCGCGGTGGCAGATTTGTGGAGGCGGCAAATTATTTGGTGGAGATGACTGAGCTGGGTTTAGCACCGATTTCAAGGTGTTTCGACATGGTCACGGATGGTTTAAAGAACTGTGGGAAGCATGATTTGGCTAAGAGAATAGAGCAGTTGGAGGTTTCACTTCGACGTGCTTGACGCCGCAATCGAGAATCGAAGACTGTAGCCTATCCCCTTGTCACAATACTTGACAGCCGAGTGTTGCTACTAACTCCTGAAAGGCCAGTTCCTGTGTTGGGATTCATTTACTTGTAATTTAGCTGAGTTTTCCGACACACACGTCTCACTGAGAATTGATTCGTGCATTCTGTCACTCATGTGAGCTTCAATCAGTCTACTTAATGCTGCAGCCCTTTGAAGAACAATTGTGCCGAATCCTTCTTACCTAGCAATTCGTAGGGGCTTAGAGCAGGCGAATCACTCGACCCTTCATTTGTTGGAGTGCAATGTCCAAGTGTTTCCATGGAATGTGCGATTGGAATTAACGATTGATGCTATTCCGATTATTACCGTTGCAGTGCTCCTGAGACTGAAGTACCCAACCATAAATAAGTTGATATTGCTTGCTATGAATGCAACAGCTGGACTTCAGGGGAACACTAAAGGAAAAAATGTGACGCAAAGATTAGAGTTTATTTTCCCTCGGTTTTCCATGGTTATGTTTCGATATGGGATTTAATCGAATTGAGTTATAAGGTTGAAGTTAGTTCAGTTCACGTGTTTTATTATATAATTTAAATTTTACTTAAAATTTAAATAAAATCTAACTGTTTATATATCTTATAAATTAAATAATTTAACTTAAAAATCAAACCCGTTAAGTGGCATAAATAATTAAGAAAATATTATTTTCCTCTTTTCCTCGTGTTATTCATAAAAAAAACCAATTTACTAATTATTTGAAATTTTAAATCATTTGAAGCTTATTTTATAGTTTAAAAATTCAAAGATATTCGAATTGAAATTATAATTTGAATATAAAATTCAAATTTTCAAGTTAAATTTTACTCGCCTTCGTTATGTTTCAATGAAGATCTTTACTGCATCTTCTCCACTTTGATTTTAAAGTAAGCACAACAGAAGTCACATACAACCCCTTTCCCCGCGCAGAAAATTGAGGAACCCGCAATTTTTCTGCTTCATAATTGTTGGCTTCATCGAAAATACAAAAAAAAAAAAGGCAAATAAACACAGTAAACTTGAACTCCATTACATCTACTAATAAAGTCTTAGCCACCTGTTTTAAACATCTTCAAGGCAATGCAAAGGTCTTGCAGCATCCACGCGTAGCACAATCTCAAACCCATGTCCGAATAACAACTCTAAACAATCTTCCTTCCCAAATTAGATAGAAATCTTTTCTCCTC